CGAGTTGGTGTGCGCAGATGATGCGCCCCCGCCGAAGCTCCCCCTTTACGTTGTCGTCAAGTTTGAAGGGTACTCGGGGGGGGAATGGTCGTCTCAGGAGAGGTATAGACGTTGTGTCCCTATTTCTCCCGTCGACACCACCTGGCAGGACGGGGGGACGCAGGTCAGGACGCAGCTGCCCCTTAGGCTCTGCTGGGCAATTACGATGCACAAGTCCCAGGGGCAGACTTTAGCCAAGGCCGTCATTGACTTGGGGCCCAAGGAGGCCTGCACGGGGCTTACTTTCGTCTGTCTCAGTAGGGCGAAGAGACTTGTGGACCTCATGGTAGAGCCCATGAGTTTCGACAGGATTGGTAACCTTGGAAATTCGCCGACGATGAAGGCTAGGCTGCAGGAAGAGGTTAGACTTGGGGAGTTAGCACAGAGTACGAGGGTCAAGTACACGGACATGGGCGTCTTCAGCGCCGTCGCGGGTAACCAATGACGTGAATTGCAAAGAGAAAAAGAAGAAGAAAGGGTCTCTTCCACCTCCCGCGGACGCACACGTCTGACGACAGTTACATCTATCAGCTGTCGCTCGTTTTAGCGACAGCTACTATATCTTTTTTGTTTTGTCTCGTTTTTTATCGGTTGCCGAGGGCTCTTGTCTCGAACGGTCGGTTTGGTACGTGTTCTTTTCTTTCTATCATTTTTTTTTCTTTCTCCTAATAGTTTGTACCCTATTTGTTCGTGTGTTTGGATACGGACTGGTCAGATCTACCGGCAACAACAGAGGGCACGCAAATGGGGCATATGTACACCTTGAAATGGTTGCATGTGCGGGGACCCCTCGAACTCCCAAGAGGGCTTCACTTCTCCCTACTCCCCTTACGTGTCTAATACAAGAGATAAACCGCCTTCCCCTTCCAAGTAAAGGACATATACGAACACACTAGTGTCAGTTCCTCGAGGGAGAGTCCATTAGGAATGTCAGGTCGCAAAGATGGGGGTGACTCCTCCAGCAACTCTGCGGCGGAAGACAGAAAGAGGTCAAGAGAAGAGCTCGTGGCCCTGAGGACGCAAGTTAGCTCGCTGACGGATCAAATGAGCCAGCTAATGTCGTTAGTGGAAGGTACCATGAAGGCAAGCAAGAAGGAGGAGCCAGCTGGCACGATGGAGGGTGCCGCTGATCGCGGCGATGCTAGGGAGAGCGCCTCCGCGGAGTCCATGAACGTCGAAGGAGGGGCCCCGTGGACCGGGAGTGCGCAGGACGGGAGGTACCTGCACGAACCTGTTCGAGAGTCTGGCCCGTCAGGGCGACACAGCGGCGAAGCAGGGGGCTTTGTCCCCCAAGAGGTGAGAGTAGTCGTTGCTCACAACCAAGATGAAAGTAGTGCCATGGGAGATGGTGGTGCTGCTGTTGGCTTTGGATACGGAGCCACAACCCCAGCGACGGGGTACCAAAGTGTGCGGTACACTTCTCCTCCGTTCAGCGAGAAATAGAAAGATTTCAACGAATGGCTAAATGATTTCTGCATTGCAGCTAATGGCGCAAACCTGTTGGAACAATTTGAAGAGAGCGGGAGCTTGGATATCCCCGTCAACAGCGGAAAGAGCAAGTTTTCGCTGTCACAGCAGTACCGGAGCGAGCAAGTAGAGCTCGTATTCCACGCGTGGAACTTCCTGTCTCACGCGT